CGCTTGGTGATGTGAGAGCCTGGTCCGGTGAGAACCCGGCGTGCTCCGTCCCGGCTTTGTAGGGATGCGAGGTCAATGGTCTAACGACTACGGCATGCACGACTCTGAGTACACACACACACACACACACCCCCCCGCACATGAAGGTACCCGTCGGCAAGGTTGTCAAGGTTGCAACAGCCCCTGGGTGACTACACCCCGGTCTAGTAGGGTACAAAATAGGTTGAAGGAATTTCGTTGTCTTGATTGGTTACCTGTGTTATCATGTTGTTGGTGTTTGTTGGGAGCTCGTGCCAGCGGGAGCTATCGAGCTATCGGCTGTTTTGTATGTTGTCTTTGCCCGATATGACGCCAGCTCTATCTGGCGGGTGGGGGGCGTTTTCTTGGGTTGTCTGATTTTGTTCGCTTTGTTACCCAACTCATTTGGGGTGCGTGTACCCTTGTTGGTGGGGTTGTTGGCCTGTGACCATGGCAGGCGTTCGAGCCAGACGGGTACGGATGTCAGACAGTACTGAGCGGAGGCTGCAGCATGTTTTTTTCTTTTCATGTGAAGAACTACGAAGTAGTAAAGAACCGATCAATTTTTCCGAGTAGTGTTAGTGCAAACAACCATGTTCAAAGCATGAGACGATGCATGCTCGTTCAATCTGACCATATGCATCGCCACGAACGGCATCTCGAACAGCAAACTGTGCGCATGCTTGGCACACACGACGTCAAAACAGAGGATGGGCTGTAGTCATGAACGCATAAATGTGCGTTGTTCCATCAATATGGGCCCCGGTCTTTACACCTTTCCACAATTGTTTCACGTAGTTGTTCTTCGCCCCGTCCGTGAGCAGCGAGCGATACATGACACTAAACACCTTTGCGTTCGTCACGCTTCAAGCGCCGAAATGTTGACTGACAAATTACACATCAAGTGACCTACGAACAGCACCAAAGGCAGTAAACTGCAAACCCAAGCCGGAATACTTCTGCCGTGGAAGCCCAGAAGCACTAAAATAGTTTATGTTAGTACATACTTGCACCACCTCGCGATAACTCGCGGTACTTCCTCCTGTTGCTCTGGAACCTATCAGTAAATACGAACCGTCGTACCGGCCGCCATCCCCAACCATGTAAATAACAATTGACCACTCACTCCTGATTCCAAATTATCGTGCTTAGTCGAAGCTACAGACAACCCATATCGTGTAGGGCTGTGAATGCCCACACACTGCAGAAAAAAGATACTTCCCCCCATCCCCCCCCCCCCATTGTAGGGATGCGAGGTCAATGGTCTAACGACTACGGCATGCACGACTATGAGTACACACACACACACACCCCCGCCCCCATGCGAGGTCAATGGTTTAACGACTACGGCATGCACGACCATGAGTACACCCCTCGCCCCCCAGGACTGCGACATGCACAACTAGGAGCACATACACACCCCGATCATTCCTGGCGGCGGCGACATGATCACTTGCCGGTACTATTTTTGCACGTGTCAACATCACAATCGATAAACACCAAATTACTCAGCTGTCACCTCCGACCAAGAGATGGGCTTGTACTTTCTCGCGGCGGCATGTTTCCTAGCGGTGACATGCGCTGCTGGTACTTTGTTGCACTTCGTGCACAGGATCAACGCCCGGTCCTTCCCCGACCCATCCGTGCAAGTATCACACCAGCATACCCCCCGAGTCCTAGACCCCTTGTACCGGCTGCCCTTTGCGGTCTCCTCGCAAATCCCCCCATAACATACATGGGGTGATTTTGCGCCCTTCACGCTGTACGTCGCAACAGGGTTTGTCGNCGCACATGATCAATGCCCGGTCCTTCCCCAACCCATCCGTGCAATTGCCACAACAGCATACACCCCGAGTCCTACTCCCCGTGTACCGGCTGGCCTTTGCGGTCTCCTCGCAATGCCCCCCATAACATACAAGGGATGACTTTGCGCCTTTCACGCTGTACATCTCAACAGGTTTTGCCGTGCGTCTTGCCCCCGTCTCAGTGTGACCTACACTGCACAAGGACATGAGGTGATTCGCGAGCCTACGGTCCCAGTCAACACGCTCCACCTTCATGGCCTTCTTGACGAGGGATTGAAACTCGCGAAGCTCTGCCACCGTGAGATCGCAACTGTCCGCGGCTGCTCCTCCCTCCGCGGCCTCCCCGGCCTCCCCGGCCTCCCCGGCGTCACCGACCTCTCCGTCTTGGGTCGCTGCATCCAACGCCACCGTACACTGCTTGGCTAGCACCCCAGCCCACTCGTAAAACAGGAGCCACGCGTTGCTGACAGCTTGAGAGAACTTTTGGGCGAAGACACGCCTCCAGAAGAACGTCATAGGCCTGTGCGTGCGGGCGTGGGCGCCTAGCCGCTGGTCCGCGACGTCCACACCACCCATGTTCTTCACGTACTCCTTGCGAGCTAGTGGCTGACTGCTCGACACTTTCTCGCCGTTGTCCGCAGCGCGCTTCCTGTCAAGACTTGCAAAAAGAAGATCGGCGGGCATGTCAGGTAGATCCAAAGAGAAGTATATGAGGGGGTGATGCACATGTGACCTTAGCCCGTGCTGCAGGCGAAGCAAAGTTTCAATATCACAACCGAAGGCGTCCGCCTCCAGCGGAGACNAAGTATATGAGGGGGTGATGCACATGTGACCTTAGCCCGTGCTGCAGGCGAAGCAAAGTTTCAATATCACAACCGAAGGCTTTCGCCTCCAGCGGAGACTCTCACTTCCAGCGGAGAAGCATGCCCTCATAAACCGAAATAACTAGCGTTTCCACATTTACCATGCCGTGTGCAACACACAACTTGTTGGGAGAAAAGCCATGACAGCAATGAATGTACGTATCACGGTACACCACGATTGGATGCATGTCCGGGAGAAAATATCATCGCGGCATAGATTTACGGTTGTACTCACACGTAAGCGAGAGGTTCCCACTCGTCCGCAAATACATGCTTCGACGACATCAGGTGCACCTCCTGGGAGTCGATCCACTTGACGATCACGAGCTAGTCCGATCGGGCCGTCAGCATCTGCCCACGCTCCGTCTCCTTCATGCCCTGCTTCGACCAGATGTAGTTGACAAGATCCACTCCGGTGCGGTTGCCGCGTAGAGTCCCGACGGCGAAAATGTCGCGCGTAGCGAGGCATCGCAGCAGAGCGGCTCCCATAAAGGTTGTCCATCGCTACGGTAACACCGGAGCCGATGACCTTGTCGGAGAAAGTCTCGCACGCCTCGAGTAGGACGTACACGACTGTGCGGGCCGACTTCCCAACGGGACAAGTCGCATACGGCTTCAGCTTGATGTCGCCGCTGAACCCGCCGTCGATGCTTTGGACGAAGCAGTAGCCGGAAGGGCAGCAAATAGCCCAGCACTTGATTCCTGTGCGGGCACGGACGAAAACAGAGGGACACACGATTTGTTACCATTGCTCCCTCACTGTGTGCATACAAGATGTCAAAGTCGACACGAGCGGTGCACTTCAAGTCCTGACTACCCAGGGACCTGCAAAATTCAATATTTATTACGTGTTCGGCGTCTTGTGCTGCTCTTCTGGTACTTCACCTCTTCTTCCAGAGACAATAACAAAGCACGTTGTACCTGCCTCCAAGGTGCTCGACCAACTTCACACATAGCGGTCTTTGCACGGAGTGAGGGTATGCGACTCCGCACATGTTCTACTCGACCACGCTCATGGGCGACGAAAAAGAAAGGAAGCGACAAGAGATAAGCGTATCGCTGATTGTCAGGGGTACGAAACGATCGCCGTTCCCCAGCGACGAAGACCCAACCCCAATGCATTGGGGGCGGGGGGGAGGGGTGGGAGTGAACAGGTTTGCGGGACGACTTCATACGTGCACCGCTATGGGAACGGATGATGCTACCGAGATCACACCCAAGAAATAAAGTCCGCCCCCATTCCTCCTGCGCCTCCCCCGGTCTTTGCAATCGGAGATAGGATTTGGTCGCCGGGCAACGACATTGCCAAACAAGCGGATCACTTCGTGAGCTCGACAACCAAGTGACAGCATTTTTTGTTTCATCTCTTTTTTATATTTGGCGGTAACAATAATGGTGGTCGAAGTAGATCATGTTGTGCGGGGTGGACAATCCTTACTCCGCGCAAGGGGGATGATCGCGCCACGTTGTGTTAAAATGGCCAAGCACCCTCGAGACAATTACACGGTGCTTACAACTGTCTCTGGAAGTGAAAGCACCAGAAAGTTAGTTAAGTCATACGCAGCTGTCATCCGTATGCAAGGAATTAAGCACAAGATGCCGAAC